AGAGACCCGATTTGCAGGAGAAGCGAGAATATTTAATCGTCCAAAGTGCAGCGAATAGACAAGCTTTGCAACAAGTGGAGGATAATATTTTGAAAACTTTATCGGCGTCAGGAGCTAGCATATTGGAGGACGAGGAAGCCATAGAAATTTTAGACTCGTCCAAAATTCTCTCTATCGATATATTTAAGAAGCAAGCTGCCGCGAAGAAAACGGAGGCACAAATCGAAGAATTCCGACAAAATTATAAGCCCATCGCAAAACATAGTTCCGCTCTCTATTATACGATCACCGATCTACCCAATATCGATCCTATGTATCAATATTCTTTGACTTGGTTTATCAACTTATACATCAATTCCATCGATACTGCGAACAAAAGTAAGATTCTCGAAAGAAGACTCGCGTTTCTGCGAGAAACTTTTACTTACAACTTGTACCAAAATGTCTGTAGATCTTTATTTGAAAAAGACAAGGTAAACTTACATACTATATTTTCTTACGATATAATTGAGCTGAAAATTTTGATATGTGTCATCTCCCCGATCAGATTTTGTATTCGTTTGTCTTATATACGACAATTCTAATATCGGAGAACATGATCACGAGAGAAGAAATGACATTCTTTCTATCTGGAGGCGTCGCATTGGCTGCGATACCAGACAATCCAGCGTCTAACTGGCTTCCACTTAAATCTTGGGGAGAAATTTGCAGAGTTCATATATTACCTAGCTTCGCCAATTTTCAATCAAACTTTATCCGCAATTTAAACAGATGGAAGCAGTATTACGATTTATCGAATCCGGAAAACTCACCGATACCAGATCCATGGGAAAGGAATTTAACGCCTTTTCAGAAATTGATCGTCACAAGAATGATCAGAACAGACAAAGTGATGATCATGGTAAAACACACAGACCATTATCCCCCTTCGTCCTTTTACTTATCCTCTTATACTTAATGCGAAAACACTAAAACGTTCTAGATACAACGATTCGTCGAAGCTGGAATTGGTTTGAAGTTTGTGTTACCGCCACCCTTTGACATTTCCAAATCGTTCGCAGAATCCAGTTCTCTAATACCATTGATCTTTATTTTGTCTCCGGGTTCGGATCCAATGGAAGCGCTTACGATATTCGCAGAGAACATGAACTTCCATGAAAGATTTCGTTCGATTTCCCTCGGTCAAGGTCAAGGGCCGATCGCTCAGAAGTTGATTAGACAAGGACAAAACGATGGCGAGTGGGTGTGCCTGCAAAATTGTCACTTAGCTGCCTCTTGGATGCCTATGTTGGAAGATATCTGCGAACACTTCGATCCTTCGAATACACACAGCAACTTTCGTCTATGGCTTACTAGCTATCCTGCCACTCACTTTCCAATTACAATCCTACAAAACGGTGTCAAAATGACAAACGAACCCCCAACTGGATTGCAGAACAATATTATGAGGTGAATTTAACAAACTATTTAAACATAATCTATTAACTATCTATGTTTCAAGCGTCGACAAATGAAACGAATAAATAAACGAATGCTCGATTCAACCACTAGGTCCTACAAAGCAGAAGCTATAAAAACCATGGATTTATTTGATACGGAACCCAATAAAAAGAGAGCGTACTCCAAGTTGCTATATGCCTTGTGCTTCTTTCATGCTGTAATACAGGAAAGACGAAATTACGGCGCTCAGGGTTGGAACATAAAATACGGTCCGTCAAACGCCTTTTTCCATTTTTTTTACTTTAACTTTTCCTTTCATGTTCCTAAACTCAATAGCATCATACCTAAATGCTTGCAATGAGAAAAACTGTATAAGATAATTACATGCACAGGTTTCAACGAATCGGACCTTCAAATATCAGCCCAACAACTTCATCTATACATAAATGACTACGAAGATGTTCCTTTTAAAGCTATTATATATCTAACCGGTGAATGTAATTACGGTGGTCGAGTCACAGATGATAGAGATCGACGATGTCTAAACACGATATTACAAGATTTTTATAATCAGAATGTAATTACGGACCCGAATTATGCCTTCGCGGATATTGGATCTGAATACACTTTACCAAAGAAGTATTTCTATTATTTTCGCTCGGGCTTTTATCGTCGTAGAGTAAAAAGAGAGAAAGATTAACGTGCCGTTTTACATGCACGTAGGCACGAATACGAAGATTATATAAAACAAATTCAAGGAATTCCTTTAAATCCACCGCCAGAAGTACTTGGATTGCATATGAACGCAGGGATTACGCGGGATCTTGAATTGTCGAATGAATTCTTTGAGTCCATGATGTTAGTTCAAGGAACAGTGACGATAGGCGATACTACTAAGCAAGACGAAATGTTATTGAACATAAAAGATGATATTTATAACAGAATGCCTGAATTGTTTGATATCGAAGAAGCGCAAAAACAATATCCTATTATGTACATGGAATCCATGAATACCGTTTTGATACAAGAATTGATAAGGTATAACATACTTTTACATGAGATTCGGGAATCTCTCGATATGCTAGAAAAGGCGGTAAAAGGATTAATAGTGATGACTCCTGCGTTAGAGGTATTACGGAATCCAATGGCATTATACAACTATAATATTGTATATTTGGCGATAAATAAAATATGAAATATAATTATAGATTCTAGCTAGTCATATATTAAGCGCAAGAATTCCACCATCTTGGGTACAAGCATGTGCTTATCCAACTTTGAAACCATTGCCAAACTTTATCAACGATTTTCTTGACCGGTTAAGCTTCTTTCAAAAATGGTTAATACAGGATAAACCGAAAACGTTTTGGATATCTGGATTCTCGTTTGTACATGCTTTCCTTACGGCAACAACGCAAAATTTCGCGAGAAAATACAAGATACCCATCGATAGAATTGATTTTGATTTCGAGGTTTTACGATAATTACAAACATATCTTTTATCACGGTGAGGAGGATGTTAAGTATTTCCATCGTCATTTGTTCTAGGTACTTCCTACGTATGAATTGCATACATCCCCAGTTGATGGCGTTTACGTTTACGGAATGTATTTGGCCGGCGCAAGATGGGATATACAAAGCATGCTACTCGCTGAAAGTTATCCAAAAGTTCTTTGGGAGCCTATGCCAATCATTTGGATGAAACCAAAAGTAGTGGATTCCATTCATGTAGGAGAGCGATACGAATGTCCTGTTTACATAACTTCCGCGCGTTTTGGTGTTCTTAAGACGACCGGACATTCAACTAATTACGTGTTATCGATCCTCTTAAATACGAACTATCCTGTTAGTCATTGGATTAAAAGAGGACTGGCTCTCCTTTGTCAACTCGACAATTAAACAATCTCTCATAGTGATCTTTATCACTAAACTTGTATTTTTTAGCTAGTTAATTACAAGATTACGAATCATACGTGTAATATGTATAATGCATAACATTTAATGAATATCCTATACATACATACATACATACATGTACATTAGTACATACATAAAAGAAGTTAAAATATGGCGCCTTTCTAAGCGCTTAAGGCATAAATGAAACATTTTGAATTAACCAGTAAATGAAACTTGTTTTAATATATATTTTACATCTACATATTAACTAAGTTTGTACAACGGAATAAAGAAACAGTCGGATTTTAGTTTATCATTTAATCACTTTATTAATATGAGTAGTTCTACTTTTGTTCTTGATAATGGTGCCTATACCGCAAAAGTTGGGTTAGCTTCCGACAATGCCAAGTAAGTTATGATGCAGAAAACAATTAAATTAGAACAAAAAAGAGTACAATTATTAACGGATTTATTTTTAGATTAGTTCCAAATTGTATAATGAAAGCGAAAAGCGAACGACGAAGACCTTTTGTAGGAAATCAAATCGAAGAATGTCGAGATGCATCTGGTCTGTTTTACATCTTACCGTTTCAAAAAGGATATCTCGTAAATTGGGACGTTCAGAAGACTGTCTGGGATTATATATTCTCTAAAGAATGCTGTCTGGTAAACTTGAATCAGCTTTCTGTAATTGTAACTGAACCTTTATTTAATTTTCCAACCATTCAAGAAGCTATGACAGAAATATTTTTTGAAGAATACGAATGTCAAAGTCTCTTAAGAATCAATAGCTCTACTCTCTCTTGTTATCAATATAAAATGGAAAATCCTAATACAAAATGTTGTATTGTAGTTGATAGTGGTTATAGCTTTACACACATAGTACCATATATAAATGATACCAAAGTTAAAGAAGGTATTAGACGCATTGACGTGGGTGGAAAACTTCTTACAAATCACCTCAAAGAAATTATATCTTATCGTCAGCTTCATGTTATGGATGAAACTTATGTAATAAATCAGGTGAAGGAGGATTCTTGTTTTGTTTCTTCAGAATTTTTCAAGGATATGGAAACTGCCAAAAATAAGTTAGAAAACAATCCTATAGTCAAAGATTATGTTTTACCAGATTATACAACATTAAGACGCGGTTTCCTCAAAAATCCGGAACCTCCTAATGAACAACAAACTCTACGTTTAAGCAATGAAAGATTTGCTATACCCGAAATTTTATTTTTTCCCTCGGATGTTGGTATTCGTCAAATGGGTATTCCAGAAGCAATTATGGATTGCTTGAAAGCATGCGACGAAGAGACGTGGCCGCATCTTTTGTCTAATATTATTCTTACTGGAGGTAACGCAAAATTTCCTGGATTCCAAGAAAGAATTTACAAGGAAGTTAGAAGCTTAGCACCTGCAGAATATACGATAAATGTGCATTTACCTGAAAAGTAACGAAACATTTAATTTTATAATTGATACATCTGAAAATATTTCAATGTTCAATACCTATTCTACTGTTACATATTGTTTTCAGTCCAATCACATATGCATGGCACGGTGGTAAAACACTTTCAAAAGATCCAATATTTTCAAGTCTTTTGGTAACTAGAGAGGATTACGAGGAAGAGGGCCAAAATCTTTGTTTCGAACGTTTTGATGTCTAACTTTAATAAATTTGTTGTATTGAATAACCCGTACATATGTGTACAATATTGTATATTGTATATAATATCGCGACATATATTAATCTCTTTTTTTACGTGTGATACGAATAATATAAAAAATATAAGTGGAATGTATAAATAATATTATTATTCGTATGAAATATTATTACTATTCTTGGAAACTCTCTGAATAAAACTCAAATGGATTTCATTTGTGCCATCAGTTCCTCTAAACTAGCATCAGATTCAGATGGAATTTGATTAATTTGAGATTTTTCATCCATTTGTTGATCTTGTTCATCAAGAAGAGAAATTCCTGCGATGAAGCAATAGATCAATTTGTTAATCATATACTAATATTTTATCTTTCCATATGTTACTTACCCCATTCATTATCTTCATGAAGAGGCTTATCTTCGACTGTTTTCTCTATCTTTTGTTCTGGTTTTGGTTTCAACGCATATTCTAGTTGATGTTTTCTACAATACCTATCTTCACAGTTTGGATTTGGTTTCAATATCATTTTAGGAAAAAAATCTTCCATAGCATTATAACCCAAATAATAGGTAACATCACCAAAGTTTAAAAGATACTTCAATGCATTTTGAACTAAAAAGCCTGCAACAATTCCCATAGTTGTTGGCAAAGATGCTGCGCAAACCCCATCTCGTTTCAGAGTTTTTTCATCAATGTTTTCTGCTACTACTAATGGAGGAGCACACTAGAAATAAAATGATATTTTTCACAAATTAAGTTTAAGCTTCAATGCTTTGCCTATACTTTAATTTTTATTTTTATTCACCGCAAAACAAGCTGTTTCTCCAGGAATAATAAATTGAATATGACCTGAAACTGCATTTTCAGATACCCCACTTTCAAACCACTTCTGATTAAGTTCGTTACATGCGGTATTAATCGCCATTCGTGCTTCAAAATTGTCTACACAGCTCAAAACTAAATCTACTGGACCCTCATTTAAACTTGCTGTGCTAAAAATAAAATTTAATGTTACTTAGATATTGTTAATTACAATTATTCAAAAATTAGGTTTATGTACCTTATGATATTTGTAAAATCTTCAAAATGATCCATTGTAGTAATGTTGTAATTGTAAGTTTCAATCTCTACATCTGGATTAATATATTGCAATGTTGTTGCTGCTGCTTCTACTTTATTTTGGCCAGCTTGGTAAGGTTGGAAGAAAAGTCTATTCATATTAGCCATTTCTACTTTGTCATAGTCAAAAAGAATCAACTGAAATTTACTTGTTTGTTACTTAGAAAACAGATAAATTTTTCATTTATGACTTTATATAAGACTGTTACCTTGCCAATTCCACATCTTGTTAGCATTTCTGCAGTCACACTACCAACTCCGCCTATTCCAACTATAGCAATTGTTAATTCTTTTATTCTTTCATAATTATTTACTATACCCATACGTTTTAATGCCATCAAACGACTAATCAAAGGACAAAGAAACATTAAGATATTTTTCTTTCAATTTTGTATCAAAGAGTATATAATTGAATTATTTATAATTCAAACTATTTAATATAATGCAAAAGTTTTATATAAGCAAAAATTACCTGTAAGGATTTGCATCAGTCACTTCACTTGACATATGTTCTATTTTTGCTCTTGTAGTAAACGTATTTTTATGTTGTTTTTGAAGTAGTTTGTCTTCAAGTTCTTTGATTTTTTGCCTCAATTCATCAATTTCATCCATTATGGATATTATAAGTAATTTTCAAAGATATGTAACCAGCTGTACTTACTTTAAACTGCAACTGCTGTTATGGCACGCTATTCTATTGCAGGTGCAAAGCAACGTATTTACACATGCATGTATACTTATACGATACGCGCTGCAAAATATAAATCTTTATACACATAACACACTGATAAAGAGAATAATCCAACTTTGAATAAAAATTATTTACTTGGTAATTAATCTCATATACGATATGTTCGAATTTTATAATAACTTTTACTGAATTTTATAATGATTTCTTAATTAGAAACATAACCTGTTCTACTTGATTTATCCAAGCAGAGTACGTATTTACGTATGCTACAAAATTAAAGGATATTTCGTATAGTTACTTATAAATTCCTACCGCTTTTTTCCTACATTAAAATAATAAAAATGTTAATTTTTTCGAAAATCAATTATACAGATTTAAAATGAGATGTATGAAGATACGACTATGTGTAGAATTGTAATTATATGATAATGATGAAAAGTGAGAAATCAGTATGAGATATTGTTTAATTTCAGTAAAAAAATTCAATAATTATAAGATTTATTATTTCTTTTTAATACAAACAAAATTGTATCTGCTTCTTTTTTCAATTAATTCTATACAGCATTGTTTAGTATTACAGCGTTTCGTATCGTAAATTATACATATTGTTGTTACACTGCATATATGCACAAATGTTTTGTACCTGCATAAAGGAAAATTTTGAAACTTTTCGTTATTATTTATTTAGCCATTGTATCACTAATTTTAAGAGTAAATATTAGAAAAACATTAGAAACATGTGATCACGTAATACAGGATGGATAATTTTTTATTTTCATGCTTTTATGATCGATGACAAGTTTAAATCAAAGTAGATCCGTGCATTTTGGCTAATTTTATTGTCATACCTCAACCGCATTAGAATAATTCATTTTCCAATAGCCCGCGTTTGAAAAAAAATTTAGAACCGAAGAGAGAAACAGAAAACGAAGAAGTATGTAAACAATTTCACTTTATCGCTTTGGCATTATTATGAATGAATATAAAATTCGAATGTACATTTAGTATATATTGAAATATTAGGTGCACTTTCTTCTACCAGGATATAGCCGTTCTTAGACAAAATAGGAAAAAGAAATTTTTAAACTGGCCTATAATATATGATAATGATAGAACGGCTTTCCTAGTGATATTTGTTTAATAATACATTCTGTCCTCAAAATAGTGTTAAATTATGATGTTACAAGATAAAATATCAACGTTAAAATTTAGCATAATATATTAATTACATTAGTGACAATTCGTTATTTTAATTTTTTTTTTTTGTCTAAGTTAATTTGCAGATTTAAATAGTAGTTATTCAATAGTTTTTTCCTATAAAACTAAACTAGATTATCGTAAACTTAACGTATGAACAGGGAAGAATTATCAAATTTGGACAAACAATTATATTTGCGCCGTTCTTGCCATGTGAAAGTGACTTGAAATTAGATATTTGTCGCATTCGAGCAATACGACAGTTATAAGCAGAATAAATAAAATGTATTTATACTTGTACATAAAGTATTTCCTTTTTACATCTTTAACATTTATAGCGCAGTATGCATCTCATACGTCTACTCTTTCCACTTATTTTCACTTATCTGCGTTACGTATATATGTATATATATTTTTTATGCATTATTGAAAAATAAAATATACATATATATATATACATATAAAATCTTTAAATACATGATAATAAGGCAAAAACGGCGCAATGATCAGAATAAGAAGCGAACATTACTCTTTAACCGATAATATTCGAGAGCATACCTCGCTCTTCGAATTCAAATCCACACTCCGCTTGATAGGGTACGCATTTATAATATGCTACGTGTTTGTATATATATATATACATATACACACATATACACACACTTGTATATATATTTATATGTGTGTGCATGTATTATATATATATATATGCATATGTAAAATTATTTTGTATATATATATATGTGTATATATATATATATATATTGAATTGACCGTACTTTATGCATAATTTATACGTATAGGAACTGACGAATTCTTTCGAAATAATACGAAAGGACATGGTTTACAAGTGGAGTGTGCTCTATTCCTATACATTCTTTAAAAGTACGTCACTCTTCTTCTCTTTCTCCTTTTCTTCCTCTCAAAGAAAATTTTTGAAATGTACACAATAAACTGACTTACGGTCGTATATAAATAATTACATGTTCAATTTATAAACATACTGAATAAGAAACACATTGGTAATGCTGTATTCGAAATAATTCGATCGATTTAGTGGGTGTTATTGACATTAAGTTTTTGACCAGCGCGTTAAGCTCACAATGTACAGCAATACGAATGTTTCTTTTTTTCATTTATCGACGTGTGTCTTGTTCATGTACGTAGGCTTTTATTGGCGCCAAGTGTTTTAAGGTGCCTGTGAATTCTCGTTTTGATCAATGTATGAAAATTAAATTGAAAATCTTAACAGTTCTCTTTTCCTCTCTCTCTCTCTCTCTCTCTTACTTTTTCTAAATACAAACGGCGAAATGGTCATAGAAATGTGGATATCATGTTCTCAAAATTTGATCAATTAAGTCTTTACCAGTACTTTGGTAACATCTATTACTGGATATACAGGTATTCACAGAGCACAAAGAGTACTTGGCTATAACAAACATTTTATTCAACTATCATTGTATCAGATATAAACGAACATTTTTATCATCGTTAAAAGTACTAAATCGAGCGGCCTAAGGTACATGTTAAGTGTAAGCACGTATGTGCTATGTGTATGTGTGTCGTACGCGCTTGTGTGGATGCAAATACATATAGTTTTTGTTCTGCATCATTTTTGTTATAATGTCTTATGACGGACGATCTTCGAAGTGACATAACATGATCTAATCGCATCTTTATGCATTTACAAATTTCCCGTGATCGTGACATTAGCAGCAGCGTCAAAGGAAAACAACAGAAATGACAGATTAAAAAAATAGAGAAAAGCAACATACAATTATTAATGGCACATGCACACCGGCCAATATGGACAGAGCACATACTTTGATAGATTTCATTTTAATATTCTAAACTTTCTTCCGTTCCTAAATTATTTGCAATATAGTAGAATCGATAGTAGTTTTGAAACGTATCATTTGCTCCTCATTTGTGCCATTTAAGGTCTCGGTCGCACATAATGGATTGCTTCTGACACAACAAACGTAAATTCTTTTAAGTAATACCCAGGATAAAAAACAAGGAATGTCTAAAATGTAGAACTTTATACACCACGTCAACATATAATTGCCATTTACATAAAGAGTGGTCCGCCATCATACAAAATACTTTTCTTCTTCTTAATTTTGCAAGTTTGGGTGGAATGAAAGGTTTTAGTTTGTAACTAACCAAAAGTCGTAAACCATGTGTTATGGATGAAACGGATGTGATGAATACTTCATCGTTTTCTGAGTCCCATTTCCAACTTGTCCTGCCACATTTTTCAGTCGGTTTATTCCACGAACCGGTACGCTGCTCACAGTCACGCTTAGGGATGGGATTAAGCCCCTCGCGCGAAGTATCGATACCTAAATGAAAATGTTTGATTCTTCGCACGCTCCTTATAAATACGCATACTGACTAAAAAGATGCCTGTTTTGAAATGACTGAGCAATTCAAGTCCAGTTGTCGTTTAATACGGATCGACTTATTTATAGAAAACATACTACATACGTATCTGTTATTAGTTACTAATCATCGACAGATTTTGAAAATAGTGTATATCTGACACACTCTTTCTCGAAACTATCATTACGATTGCACATTTCATTTGTTATTTGCTGAACGTTCTATGTATCGATTATTCTGTTCCAATGTATTTACGGTTTTGGAGACTATTATATAAAGCTAGTCAGATCCGAATCTAAATAAATAAATTTCTATAATATTTATTGTTTGTCAAGGAGGAATCAAACATTTTCTTCCAGGTATTATTTCTAGTGCGTGCGACTTTTTCCCATCATTAATGTTGAGGGAAAAATGCATTCATCGCATAATCGGCGAGGTATCACTATAACCGATCTTCTGATGCGACAATATAAGAAAAATCAGCATTTTATACGCTTCATTCTAATCATACATTAATCGATACTAAACGACATAGACTTGAATCATTTAAATATTTCAAATCAAACATTTGTTTAGTCGCATCTTTAGTCACATTACGACCATTTGAAACGATCTTCTTATTTCAAGAAACAGAAAGAAGATAAAAAAAATCAGTAGTCAAGAATATTTGAAATTCTGAAATATAATGTACCGCGAAAAATAAAACATATATTACTTGCAAAAAAGATCGTTTTGCATTATTAACGGTCGACATTATTCTATTTCGTATGTTTTCTTTATAATATGACTATAAGTCGCATTGGTCATTCCATACACCTGAAATTTTAGATCAAAGAAGTATTACTAATGGATGTTTGTATTCTGGCCACAATGTAGTACATCTTGCTCTGGTTATTTAGATGCCTGGAATGACTTTGCGTAAAGCGTAACACAGTTGTTTACTTTAACTAATTCGCAATGGGAAAAATTTCCGTACTTAATAGCAAGGATTTGTTTCAACATAAATGTGTTTCCACGCTCAACGTTTGAACACTTTACAAGAACAGTGTTTATCATTGCGAATTAGTCAAATTCTACAGTGCCGGACGATGTCAACAATTGAATGCCAACAGAACTGCGTGTATTCGTACATTACAATACAAACACGACGTGTTCATATTCCCGGCATTCTTTCTCATTCTTTGTTTTTATAAATATCGTAAAATAGAAGTTGTGAATTCGAATCAATACAAACTTCATGGATGTTCAATTGATACGCATCATATTCGTAGATGCGAATGAATATTCACGGGATTCTCATGGTCGATTCAACAATACGTGAATGATATGGTTAAATAATTATAAATTGGAAATTGAGGTGGTGACATTACCTGGGCCGTTACTCACCTACAGGCAACGAACCTGTTATGGGAGTAGGTGACGATGATACCATGTTTAATCGACCTTGATCTTTTACTATTGGATCTAAAGTGAAAGAGAATGGAAAAATAAAAATGAAACTATCGGTTTTTCGAAGTATCACATCATTCATATTTTCTGTTAAAATTTATAGCGCAAAATTTAAATATACTTCATAATACTTACAAAAATAAGGATGTTCCATAGCTTCGCGTGCAGTAAGTCTTTCGTAATGATCATAACGCAAAAGTTTGTCAAGGAAATCAAGGCTTTCGTGCGATACCAAATGTTGATTCTCTGAATGCATAAAACGTTCCCAACGTTTACGTGAATGTCGACCTAAAATATCATTGAAACGAGGATCCAATTCAATATGGTACTTTTCAAGATATTCAAATAATTCCTCAGTCCCGAGAACTTTTGCAATTCTCACTAGTTGGTCATAATTATCGTGTCCATGAAAAAACGGTTCTTTCCTGAATATCATACTTGCAAGCATGCATCCAAGGGACCACATATCTAATGAATAATCATACATCTGCAATACAGAAGAAGAAGCCATATTATCCATAAATTACTTATAACATACAGTTAAAGATATGAGAAATTGCACACAAACCTGATAATCTACAAGTAATTCTGGACCTTTAAAATAACGCGAAGCTACTCGTACATTGTATTCTTGACCTGGATGGTAAAACTCTGCTAGACCCCAATCAATTAACCGTAACTTCCGATTTTCATGATCTATCATAACATTGTGCGGTTTGACGTCCCTATGCATTATTCCCATACTATGGCAATAATCCAATGCCTAAACAGAAAAAGGAGACAACCATTTCTTGTACATTATTAATGATTTTCTCTTTCGTTTTACATCTTATTCAACCACAGATGCAAAATGGATCAAACACTATCGACACATTACTTACTTAAATATTCATGAGTCCGAAAATTTTTAAAATTTCTGAAACTAAGGATTCTTTTTATATGCTTTGACTAATAAGAAAGAACAATTTCAGTATTTTTATAGAAAGGCACTACATCATATTTTCATTTAGTATATTCACTTTTAACCCTTTTGAGATAAGATACTTCTAAAATTATTATATTTTATTGTACTTCATGATCAGAATAAACTAATAAAAAGCATAAGAAAGAAAGAAACATAGAAAATTTATATATGCAAGTTTATAACTGTTTAAATACTTAAATTTCAAATATCATAACATTGAAAGAGTAAAGATATAGTTATAAGCAAAATAAAAATATAAAGATAAAATAAATTTCATATGAAGTATTTTTTTATCTAAAAATACTAATACTAAATAAAACAATGGTAATAGAGGGAAAAAATGAATTTGTATAAATAAAATATTTTCGAACTCTTCCTTGAACCTATGATATACACCTACATCTATCAAAATAATAATCTCGAAGATTCACATTGGACTGTTCCATTGCACTTAACAATACACGCACTTTTAATAATTCGTAGAGGTAGTATCTTATGTCGTAGTCTGTTAGCGTCTGGTATAATTGCTTGAAATCTGTGTTGTTCACATGTTCAAATATCAGTGCTGGCGTCCTTGACACCGGATCTTTGACAACAGCTTGGAGTGTAATTATGTTGGTCCCACCTTTGAGGTTTTCTAAGATTTTAATCTCCCTTTTTATTTTCTTCTTTTTTACAGGCTAGACATTAAAATCACATGAAAATTAGAGTTTTCGGCTAATTATAATTCGCTTACTAAAACATAATTTATTCATTTTACCTTTAAAATTTTTACAACACATTTTTCATTATTTGTAATATTTATGGCTTCAAATACTTCACTATATTTTCCTCTGCCTAATTTTCTTACTAGTTGATAATCATCTTGTTGTCTATATAACAAAAAATTTGTTACAATTAAATAAAATGAGGGAAATACACAAATATATATACATACAAACATAGATATGCACAAATATAGATACATTTATCTAAATACACACAGAATGTTTTATTGCACACTTACCCCCAGTCGACAACATAGGATTCATAGTCCCAGTAATCTCTGGATTTGTGTGAATTCACATCTGTGTAGACTCGCGCTCTACTGGGTAGTGCCATTTTTTCTGATATATCACTACTACTATTTATTTTGTGGATTGCTATTTTTTCACTGTTGTCTATTGAAAAATTACAAAAGCTAGTTAATTTATCTCTTCCACTCACCCAGTTATAAATGCGCGAGGACAAATATACACCTGAGTCATTAAAAAAAATCATATTAAAATTAAACATATTTTAAATTAATAAGAGAAATATAAAAAATTGATGAGTAATATATGAATGTGTAATAGTCTTTTGCTAAACACTAACTTATGTTTACATATGAACTGAATCAAATATTAAAATATTAGTGTCAATAATATAATTTATAATATCAATGATAATAGTATCTATTAAGGCAACTCAATATTGCACTTATATTCATGTATACATTGAAAAATTCATTAATACAATGCAATATTTAATCATAAATCTAAACATTCTCTTGATTCTTATATACTTTTTACTTAACTTGACACAAAACAATAAATGAGTAAATTCTAATATTTAAATACATCTATACTACATTCGATGCAAATAAATTGACAATTATGTGTATCAATTAAAAATCAATAATAGTTGCAACGTAATTAAAATAACATAGTAAAGAAAATATAAGCACCTCATTGAGTTATAATTGAAACATTTAATTTAATTTCTTGTAATATAAATTCTGCAGAATACAAATAAATTCATTTATAAACTATCTAATAGTATCTTTATTAAAAATATCTATATGATATTTAACTGAGTGTAATTACAAAAAGGAGTTATATGGTTAGAAGAATCAAAACAACTTCACTAAAAATAATTATATGATAGCAAGCAGACTAACCAAAGAAAAAACTGAATCCTGATATAAGAAACTAACAAAGTTTAAAACGTGTTCACCGATTACAACGAATGAACTGCATATTCCTTAGAAGTCTATTGATTGTGAGCTCACAGAACACTATCAATTCGTTTCTGTGATTTGAAGTTGTGATTTAGCAAAAGAGCAATTCTATATATACAAGCACAATTGGCATATAGGGAAAATTGGTATTTAAGTTAAAGATCAAAAATGTAGGTAAAAATTAATCTACTATCGCAACAGGGATTAGAACACGCACAAGCACAAGGCACGAACACACATGTACGAGATAAATCACACGCCATCGCAATCAGGAAATTAATGTTGACTTATTCTGGACTCACCTAATACATTCCGGACCCGAATCTTGATTAGTTTGACCGCAGCAGATCTCTAAATTCGTCGTGAAACCACGCAACCTGCTTAGGGAATACGTGAGGCCGCGCGAACGCGTGAAACTCAAAGATTTTTGCGGGCGGCCGGCTTCTCAAACGACCGAGGTCCAAGATGGCAGCCAACAATCCACCACAAACTTCAAATATATAGATTGAAAACTCCAACCTTCAACCGTCTCTTCAATCAAATCTTATTACTACTATTACTTAAATTATCGACTTAACCTTTAGAGATATTATTGTTCTTATATTATCGTTTACATCAATTAACTACATAGTTTTATATATACAGTATACGTGTTTGATATGTTTTATATAGGCATATAAAATTTAATATTAACTTTTCAATATTTTATACATATCATTCTCTTCACATAGTAATAAAATTCCATCCGCAATATGTACGTATTAAAATAAGATATTACTAACAAATAAATTATAAAAATATTAGTACTTATATAAACCTTTTTGTATAACAAGATTTTTATTTAATAAGGAATGTTCATTTTTATTCAAAAGAATTGTTAATTTTAATTAGAAGGGAAACTCATGTACATGTTTAGTAAAATATTTTAGTACACTTCATACATATTGACCAATCAGAATTTATGGTGATATCTTCATTATCGCGTGTCTCAACGTGTGTCTTTAATAAATTAAACGTGAAAAAGATATTAAAGATTAATATATAATGTAATATAATATAATAAATTACGCTTACACACGGCAGATGATAGTTTGTTATAATAAACTACTAGCTATATTTACGTTAAATGTTAAATAAACATAAAAATAAAAAAACATCTATATTTAAAATTTAACAGGGTTATTATTTAAATAATGTTTACAACATTTTAAGCTAAACAGTATCCTTGATTTGTGTTAATGAATGTATAGGATGTAATAAAGATAAGTCATTTTTTATTGAAAACCATTGCTGTAAAAGTTGTTCTATATTCTTAGCATTATCCTATAAGAGAAAAAATTTATGTAATAAATAACCAGATGGAATAATAATATGAATAACACTGCATATTTGATGTGCTATTGTCTAATTTACCTCATTCACATTCATATCAGTTATATGTAATTTTTTTTTAAGATTTTCAGCATCTAAAATCCAAATATGTGCAGATTTATAAACAATCCATAAATTTGTACGTAATAATCCAACAACAACAATGTCAGTATTTTCACATGGAGGACTGCAATGTTTATATTAAATGTTGAATAATAGTGTCATTAATGCATAACGATCTTCAATATTTACCTATCTAGAAAATTTTCAGTAACTTTTTTTAAATCTATATCCCAAGATACAGTAGTTCTCATGACTAAATTTTCTTTTTTCTCCATATTCATCGTTTTCATTTTTTCCAATGCTTTTAATAGTCTATTTTTATTCTTATTAATATTTACTATACATTTTTCTTTTGTTTCCACTTTGCTTTTATTGTGCTCTGATTTCTCATCGTGTGCCAGGTCTCTATAGTATCCACGTTCTTCAGGTGACAACTTTTTCCAAAGATTAGTTATTTGATAGGCAATTTGAGGTGCTGTCATATTAGAATCTTTTTCTATCACTAAAAATAAGAATACAGATCTAATATGTATATTTCGTATTTAAATTAAGTTGTGTATGTTAAATACTTTTACCTTCTGACCTGGCATATTTTGAAAATTTAAGAAAACCTGCACATAAATTTGTATGTGGATTGATATTTGGTGACTCCTTTGGTTCTATACAATTGTAAGATTCTATATCCGTACCTCCCTGTAAAAATCACTTTTGAATATATTTCATGTGATTTCATGAATTGGATTTCTTATAAATCTTACCTTCAACCCAGATACGTGTCCTTTACTCCATTCTTTTAATGTAATTGACTTTTTCATATTCAATTTATTTTCTGCATGCAAAGTGTTTGTTTCTGCATTTTTTATCTTATTTTCTTTCTCATCTGTATTTGTATTAGAAGAATCGAACAATACAAAATCCTCACCTAGATCTACTATAGGTAACTGACTGAATGTTTCAGATGATGGACTTAGTTCAAATGGTGGAGTATCTTCTGTGTTTTCTTTTGTATTACTATGACTATACAAAGTAAAAAATATATTAAAAATAATTAGATTATATTTTTTATCCTATATTATAAATACTAACACTGAATTATGAGAAATATCGTTATTGGAATGAGTCAATGCAAAATTCTGTGATTCATTTGAATCTGATTCACTTAAATCTAGAGATGGTAATTGAACATTGAAGCCATCTACTTTTTTTCCACATTTTTCAGCACTTTCGTCATTACAAATTTGCATATTTATAGAAATTTGCGGTTGTCCTTTATGTTCGAAATTATTAATCTCGGTAGAATTTAAATTATTTATTACATTTTCATCGGTATTTATATTCCTTTCAATAGGTTTATCAAAATTTCCTTCTAAGCGTAATTTTCGTTTTTTGCATGCAGGTTCCTCATTTTCAGTATTGTTAATGTTTACTTTCTGTGTATAATCTTGATAATCAGTAAATGAACTTTCGCAATTATTTTCTGGTTGCATTTCTCTTTGTATTCCATAAAAATTTTCTAGATATTTTTCTATTATATTGATAACCACGTTCTGTGCACATAATATACATCATATAAATTTTTAAAAAGGTATACAATTAACCATTTTTGCAAATATAACTACCTGATCCTTAAAAAGGAGAGAAGTTTTATTTGGTTCTAGATTAACATCTATGTTTGCTGCATTTATTAAAATATATACAAGAAATATTGGTTTTTTCCTTGATGACAATTCTTGTCCTAATGCCTCGAAAATTATTTTAATCACTACCTGGAAATAACTCTTAAATTCTTTGAAACTGCATCATCTAATTAAAAGAAAGGCTAAGTAAGATATATACCTTTTCTAATTCTTTATATTTAATTGGTCTATCATTTACAAAAATATATTGTCCTCCGGATTGTAACACTTCAGTTGCTTGTGTCATCTTTGAAGGAACCATTATTTTAATTTTAATCTAAAACATATACTTTCATATATTAAAGTATGAAATATAGTATTAAATACATAAAATTTTGTATATAATTACATCTGTATCTGTAATATCTATCCAATTCATACAGCATGTTATTTTTTTACCAAGAGTATATGTAACTGCTTCTTCAAGATTACTTATACTAGGTTTTGCAAATATTATGTTATTATTTACTTTATAATTTATTCGTACATTAAATTTGCATATTCCATAACTTTTTATTAAGGACTCCAAAGTTCTAATGTCTTGAGTAGCTTTTTTTAAATTTGTTATTATTTGCCTTCTCACTGGCATTTGTTTAAATAATTGTTTAACTTGTACAGTTGTTCCTAAACAGAGATATATAAATGTATATTTAAAAAATTTGAAGCAAAATATTTGAAGTTGTCTTGCTACCTGTAGATCTGTGGCAATGTTCTGAATTTATGATATGACCATTATGATCTATAGTATAAGATATAGCTGCTTCATCTTGTTCTGTTTTTGATATGATTGTAAGATCTGATACTGCACTCAATGCATATAAAGCCTCACCTCTGAATCCATATGTTTCTAAAGATTCTACAAATAATAGTATGATTATAAATGCAAAATCATATTATGCATTGCTATGTAAATGTTTTCTTTGTAATATAACTACATACCTAAATCGGAGAAACTAGACAATTTTGATGTGTAAGACGATAAAGCCATGTAAGGAGCATCTACTTTTGAAATACCACATCCATCGTCCTTTACTTCTATTAATGTACATCCATTATCTATCTAACATTTTTAAAAATATGAACTTTATATAAAAATTTTTAAGTTCTTTGAAGTAATTATTAAAGAACAAAATGTGCTCAGAATAAGAAAATTAATGTGTACCAAGTTAATTTCAATATTTTTAGCACCAGCATCAAACGCATTTTCTATTAATTCTTTTACAGCAGTAGATATCGAAGTTATAACTTGAGTGGTAGTTATTAGTTTCACTGTGTCTTTGTCTAAAGCTGAGATGATCATTTTGAACGTCAGATTTATCGAACATCCATTAAGGCATTAAGATTTTTTTATACATCAAATTTATATCTTGTGCATTTTGTACATCACATAATGTATCCACTCATAAATTAATGAGATCAACGCGCGAATATCTGTTTTAAAGTTTGTTTACAAATGAAATGGAAAAGATAGATCGTATACGACTTTAGAAATGAAGAACGCGATTATAACGACATTCAGTGGACCGCATTTTCAAGCGCGGGAATTTATAAATATGAAACCCATAAGTGTCATATTTTAAAAATACGTAATTGACGACGGACCTAATTTAATAGTTAAAATTTAAAAGATGGGAGAAGAACAATTTAGAGATAACCCAAAATAACAATTTTATTTCAAAATATTATTTCGAAATATAAATCATATAAAGTCATACACCGATATAATACAGCGTCGTATTTGGATAACAAAATAATTAAACACTTTATTTATATTTCTCCAACAATTTGTCCACGAATTTAATGTACCCTTCTTTCGCATCGTTCTGCGACATACCTTCCTTCGATTTCCATGCGTCCCATTTTGCTTTTCCCTTTAAATCCAGCATACCAGGTCTCGCTGTACAGAATAATGGAATGATATAAATAAAATAATTGCATAAAATTTTATACAAAGTAAGATAAGCATAATCCATATACTTCTTATATAATATGTATTAAACATGTATGTAATAACTCACTGGTATTTATATTTCCCACTGTTGCTTGTTTAAACAACGCGTACAATTCTAAAAATTCTTCGTCAGTAGGACGTTTGGTAAGAGCTTTTACAGCTTCTGTTGCTTGCTCGAATTTCTACAAAATCACATATACAATTATGTACTATCTAGTCATATTAGTTATTGCAGATGCTCGTAACTGTATTTTCCTTAATATTTAAATTTCCTATTTACTTTTATAGCACAAGACATTACTGAATAATGGAAGACAAATTATGACGTTGCACAAAATTTCACCTTTGAATCATTACGTTATCTAATAGGAAAATATCGTTAGAAAATAAATTTCTTGTGAATGAGTGAAATTGGTAATATATTATTTACGTAAATCATAGTTCCTCGTTTTCTTCCTACTGAGCAATCTTAAGCATTAACTATTTATCACAAATGACAACAACAATTATTATAATAAATTTTTCTTTCTGCTTTTTACAATTATACAATCCGATCTTGTATCAATACATAGTGATTTATTTACCGAATATAGTCACATAAATGAAACCGAACGCGCCGAAAAGTATTGAATCGATAAAATCGTAATTACCTGATCAAGAGACATCCTTTTTAGCAGTTAATGGTAGCTTTCGGTTAAGTACTGCCAGTGACCAATGGATCTACCTATGCATGGATTAAATATTGCTTCTGGAGTCCCCACCTTTTTACCAACTATGCTACATAACTGGCAATGACAAAAAGAGGTACATGTAAGATTTAAAAAAACTTAGTACGTACATACATCTACGAATAATAATCAATCCATGTCGATGTTTTTAAGCCGATTTATATATTTCATATATAATTTACTACCAATAGTTTACAAATTGTTGGCTTCGTAAATTTTTATCGATACTACCGAAGGTGCGATATTTTAGTGCACCTTTAGCTCTAAATTTTCGAATTATGTCTATAATAATTAAAAACGAATTTATATATAAATTAGGATGGTTGCTCGCTGATCTACTTTTGAGAAACAATGTCATGATACGCATGATTTGGTCCGGTCCAGCGATGGGAGACCAAGTCAACGAAAACCGCCTGGAAAGAATGGGGCCAACCTGCCACATCATCACCCAATACTCAGCTACGCAAGAATGTAGAAATTCTTGACTACCTGATACATCGTTTTACCTTTCCCTAACTTTGCTGTGCACGAGAATCTCTGCTCCTCAGGGCCGTGTTCGAAGACCATGTGTACATCGAAGCTCAGGCTGAATTTCAGAATTTCGAAACTGAACGAAATGAGTTTCAATCTCTCGAACGTATCGCACAGATTACACGGAGAATTCTATTTCTTAGCACGTATGTTGTACGATGATGAAATTATACATGACAATATGGAATTAGATGTTTTATAGATGCGCATCGGATAGAAGCAATTTGATTGTGTAAATATCGAAAAAAGATTAGATGATAAACGTAATAAAGAAAGGAAGACAAGGAGGATAATTTCGTTGGTATTTAGAACCGCAGAATAAAATTTGCTACATGCCATAGGACGAAAGTACAGAAATAGCACTCATGAAGCTACGAGAACAGGGAGGGTGAATCATTTGAAGAATACGGGAATGGTTGACGAGTAGCAACGAAAACCGACGGAGACGACCGATTTCGTGTACGCGGGATCGCGGCCGCGCGCAGTCAGAGCAAAGTGGTTTCAAAATTCACCGAGTATGCGTGATTTGTCACTCGATCGCCGATCAGTTCGATCGGGACAGTGTTACTCTCTCTCGGAAGAGTACGCGGCCAGCTAACACTAGTGCTCGACAGACACGTCTGTCATCGTGTTTGCGATTTATCCGATGAACGGTATCGTCGGTATAAATATACTTGTAAGCGGCAAATGTATCCGTGGCCTTGTTAACGATACAAGTTCTTTACATCGAGTGTCGAATAAATTTTGTGATTGTTTACTGTTTATTAACCAATACGGGAAGAGAATCAAAGAGTAACAGTAGCATGGGAAGTCAGGAAGTTTGGTGTGAAATATCTCAAGTATCTCGGCAAGCGGACAAAGTACACACCGTGAACAAGGAAATTCAACGAGAATAAAAATATTTTGATTGTTGCGATTGCGTTTATCGTTTATTTAATAAACGGTGATATGTATTTCGTATCGCTCGAGAAAACGGGCATCGAATAACGAACGATCGACAAAACGTGCAATGTGTCTTTTTGAATGTTACACGTTACGAAGGAACAGCAGACAGGCTTAGTTGTTCATTCTGAGAATCGTGATCTCTACGGCATTCGATGCGACACAGTCGACAAAGATATGGCCAGACCGCGTTCTCGTTTAATCGCGATTGCTCTCTAACAAGCATTACGTATCAAAGATATCAACGTTGTTTGACCAGCTATCGTATGATATCGATCGTATTATGTTAAAAATTTGTGCTGACAGTGGAGAAAAAGTTGTTGCTGTCACGTATGCGGCGACTACTGTGTCACGTTGCATAGCATCGAAAAAAAAGGTAGATAAATTCAATCGAATTCTTAATAACATACACGGGTATTTGCCGGTATCTGATAACAGATCGTGTTCCTTTCGTTATCGCTGGATCGTCGAAACAGCGCATCCATGGACTTTCTTCATTATGCGACACGATATTATACAGTTGGACTATGATTTTCGCGTGGTCGTTATCGAGAAATCAACTTTGAAAATAAAAGGTATTCACAATAGTAACATGACAAAATGACGATTCTTTTGGTGAACCGGTAATGACTAATTAACATATGATACCACTGGCTGACGTTGAAGTAAGAGAAAAGATGAGTATTGTACCAGTTGCGAATAGGAGTTTTCTCCACGGAGACCGGAAACCATCTCCAACTTCGGAGAAAATTCTTTACGCGACTCTCGATAGTCTGGCTCTGAAGAGAGCGACGTTACCTTTGCAATTGTTACCTATCAACGATGATAGCAACGCTACGACCAAAGCAACGAACGAGTCGATGAAGCAGGGGAAAATTCATACTGAGATGATTGCCAAGAGATCCAGCTTCAAGGTTCGCGTTAATTGTTCTTTAATAGGTGTTCAACTTCCAGACGATTTCTTTCAGCTCGATAAAATTGCAATTTCGCAACTGTCAGCGCTATTTCACGTTTGTCATTTCACAATCGTTGGAAAAACACAACGAACGGGGTAGTTGGAATTCCATCGCGATGCGAGTTCGCGAAAGTTAAAACGATGCTAATAAAGGAGTGGCTTGGAAGCTTGTTAGCTTCCAACGATCGTTATTCGCCATTCGGTTTGAATTCTACTGACCGACTGATTTGGTAACAGATTCAAAATCACTTCGTTATCTTATCGCACTCGTACTATCGCCTTGTTCCTCGTACTTACATCCGTTAATTACCGACCGACGAGATCTTTTTTTTTTCGCCCGTTTACATGCCTTTGTCGGAAATCAAGTTCTTCCGGTCAAATCAACTAGTTCCTCTGGTTCAAATTCCTCTAGAAATTGCAACTCGCAGAGCGACGGGGCGGTTACTATTTTGAAACAGTTAGGATTGCGATTTTTATCGTATTCCTTGAAACCGTATCCGCAAAACCGTTATAAATGTCTTAACTATAGTATAAGTAGGTAGGTATACAGGGTGGTTGGTAACTGGTGGCACAAGCGGAAAGGGGGTGATTCTACGCGAAAAAAGAAGTCGAAAATATAGAATAAAAATTCTTTTCTTTTACTTTTTTCTTTTTTTATTTTTTCCATCAAGACAACGATCTACAGTGAGATCCGTTATAACGAGACGTGATAAAGTGCACGCGTATCGATCGAAAATTCAAAGTCGATTTTCTCGAAAACAAAGCCTCGAACGAAAAATTTTTATTCTATATTTTCGACTTCTTTTTTCGCGTAGAATCACCCCCTTTCCGCTTGTGCCACCAGTTACCAACCACCCTGTATACCTACCTACTTATACTATAGTTAAGACATTTATAACGGTTTTGCGGATACGGTTTCAAGGAATACGATAAAAATCGCAATCCTAACTGTTTCAAAATAGTAACCGCCCCGTCGCTCTGCGAGTTGCAATTTCTAGAGGAATTTGAACCAGAGGAACTAGTTGATTTGACCGGAAGAACTTGATTTCCGACAAAGGCATGTAAACGGGCGAAAAAAAAATTACCAACCACCCTGTATATACGCAAACTAATGAATCGCGTGAAACGTTTCGTTCAGGTCGACGCGACGTGTCCTTCATCGAAGCAACATGCAAAATACCTTGTGGTTGCATCGCCGTTGTCGTCGTCGTCGTCGTCGAAGCCAGACTCGCAAGAAACGCGGTTGAAAGTCACCGCGATCGAGCCTAATCTAAAAAAAGATATCGCCTGTTTGCAATGCAATTGGACCAATAACAGCGATATCGAGGATACTTTGATAAGAGATAGCGCGTCGGAGACTGATATTTCCGAGGAAACCTATGCCGGAGAAATTGCACGTAATTCCAGTTATTGTTGTTATATCGCGAAC